GACCCTCCACCTTTGTGGTTTGTGAGTTGGGTTCTGGGTGTGACACCTAACCAAATCACTGGGTTGGGGGGGACGGGGTGTTAACTGAAGAAATTGGAGCGGAGGGGCATGCCACACTATGGCCGTGGATCGGACCCACGAGCTTTTCCAAAGCGCGAGAGATGGGATGGATGGGGCTCCTCAATCACAAACCTGCTTTCCAGCTCCGGGTCGCCTTTGCTCTCCGCCGCTCAGGAATGTTCTGCGGGAGGAAAGGGCGCTTCTCCCGCCCGCGATCTTTCCCAGGAGAAACGCAGCCGGTCGTTGCAAAAAAAAAAAACAAGAAGAAGAAGAAGAAGGAGGAGGAGGAGGAGGAGAAAGAAACGCGCAGGGCTCTTCCGAAGGAGTCCTTTCCCTCAGTGAGGAGCAAGAGAGGCCAAACCGCTCCACGAGACACAGCTTCCGGGAATGACTCGCGGAAAGTTGGAGAGGCCGATCTTAACTTCTTCTTCTTTTTTTTAGCTCCACGGAGGAAGCCGCCAAGCAACGGACTTTATTATGTAGTATATCTCGCCGTGGCTGATACCGCAACCGGTCGAGCCTCTCCGCCCTTTCAGCGCTGCTCTCTCTCTCTGCCCTCTAGCGGTCATCTGGGGTATCGTTAGGCCCCAATGGAGGCGAAACTTTCCTCGCGTCTCCAGTTCTGAGGGAAGCTTTTTTTGGCCGCGCGTGGTCGTCGCTCGCACGAGCTCTGTTAAAAACGACTAGACGCTCCGGAGTTCGCCGGGCTTTTCTCTTTATTACCCCCTTGGCGATCGCCTCAAGGGTTTCGGTCTAGAGGCGGAGAACTATGGGTTCTCCACAGAAATGCGAATAATACGAGGGAAAGGTCAGAATACAGAATAGAATAGAATAGAATAGGAATAGAATAGAATAGAATAGAATAGAATAGAATAGAACAGGAATAAGAATAGAATAGAATAGAATAGAATAGAATAGAATAGAATAGAATAGAATAGAATTCTTTATTGGCCAAGTGTGATTGGACACACAAGGAATTTGTCTTGATGCAAATGCTCTCAGAATACATAAAAGAAAAGATACATTCGTCAAGAGTTAAGAATTATAAGTTACAACACTTAATGACAGTCATAATAACAGACTCTCCTGCTCTAGCAGGGGGTTGGACTAGAGGACCTCTAAGGTCCCTTCCAACTCTGTTCTTCTATGATTCTATAGGGTACAATAAATAATCAAATCATACTAGGAAACAGTCAATATAAATCGTAAGGATACCAACGACAAAGTTAACAGTCATACAGTCACAAGTGGGAGGGGATGGGTGATAAAGGGTGATGGGAAGATTAATAGTAATAGTAGTGCAGCCTTAGTAAATAGTTGGACAGTGTTGAGGGAATTATTTGTTTAGCAGAGTGATGGCATTTAGGAAAAAACTGTCCTTGTGTCTAGTTGTTCTGCTGTTTAGTGCTCTATAGCGTCATTTTGAGGGTAGGAGTTGAAACAGTTTATGTCTGGGATGTGAGGGGTCTGTAGATATTTATATTTTTATTTATAAATATATAAAAATAGCTATATGAATATATTCTCATCTTTTGGATAATTTATTCTAACTATGTACATCGGAGGCAAGCTGTGCTAGAGGCAGAAGGTAGAGACACCTGTGATTTCTCTGTCGGTTTTTAGTTGTAACATGACCTTGTTTTAAAGGCATGGAGCTTTCCCTGTAGTTAAAAATAATAACGATTTGCCATGCATAATCATGTCGTTCATTCATTCATGTCAACCATCATATTCTGTACAAATAAAATGCATTGAACTGGTTTGGCGCTTCTCACTAAGGAAGATGCGTTTTGCCTGCCGCTAGGAAAATATATGCGTTTTGAACTTTGGTTGATGGTGGCTTTTCTTCTTCATTGTTTCTGGAGATATATGCACAGCTCTTATATCTAGAGTTTAAATAACATTTAGATACGAAAAGTCAAAAGCTTGGGAGCCATTAATTCTATCTGGAACGGTGTTTCTCCACCTAAGCAACTTTAAACTGTGTTGAGTTCAACTCCAAGAATTCCCCAGCCAGACTCTATTCTAGAAGTAAACGTGGTAACATTGGATTGTATGGAAAAGGGAATCAGATTAACTAGGAAAAGAACAGAATAGAATAGAATAGAATAGAATAGAATAGAATAGAATAGAATAGAATAGAATAGAATAGAATATAATTCTTTTTTGGCCAAGTGTGACTGGACACACAAGGAATTTGTCTTGGTGCAAATGCTCTCGGTGTACATAAAAGAAAAGATTCATTCATCAAGAGTCAAGAATCATCAGGTACAACACTTAATAATAGTCATAAGGTACAATAAGCCATCAAATCGTACTAGGAAACAGTCCATATAAATCGTAAGGATACAAGCAACGAAGTTACAGTCAAACAGTCACAAGTGGGAGGGGATGGGTGATAAGGAGTGATGAGGTTAATAGTTATAGTAATGCAACAAAGAGCCAATAGCCATTCGACTAGTTTATAAATATCGTCATATTACAGCATGCACACTGCATAGCTTAGATTGAAGAAAATGATGTTAAATTTGATGCAAAACTTCAACAAAAATACATGTCACCCAGAACAGATGTTCACAGGATTGTGGGGGGTGGGGAATCAGTGGGACTCTTTTTGGCTATTGCAATTTTATATCACTCTTCTCAAGATTCCTCTTTTTATTTGCACAGCAACCTTATGAAGGTCCGGCCACTTTAGCAAAGAAAGGTCTTTAGAGAAATTATCCAAACCCTGCTGGCCCTTAAATGAGATCTACTAACATTGCTTCCTTCCATTAATACTTTCCGGAAAACAGGATGCCTGTATTATCTTTTTAAATAAAATTTTATTTAAGTTAGAAGGAAAAATAAAATATAAGAAAACAAAAAATAAACAGGAAAGAAAATACAGATTCCTGCAATAGAAGAATGTTCTGCCTATGTTTTAATGTTCTCCTATGGATGAGCAATTTTGACAAGCAAGCTGTAACTTAATATTTAGGACAGGGTGGCTCAAGAATTGTGGGAATTGATAGATGCCAGTTCATAGAAAAGCCTGCAGCTGTATGTAATAATAATAATAATAATAATAATAATAATAATAATAATAATAATA